TTTCAAAAATGGCTGTATGAGCTTACTGTCTCATACGGCGCCACAACTCAACTTCAGCATGACGTATAGAAGTAGCGTTGAGTTCCGAGTAGAAATTAAATTAATTTGCCGTCGCGGTTTCGGTTCGCCGACGACGCAAATTTTGGCGATTTCACGTTGTTGTTTTGCATAGAACGGCTAAGAAATGTACAAAGTTTCAAAACGCACGTGCTGGGCTATTGTTCTGCTGATTAGATCTCTTGTTTTTCCACGTTCTCGTTGCCGTCGCCGTCGTGGTTGCTTAAGGTCCCTAATACCTTGAGGAAAGGCTTTTTCGTCTCCTTATTCTTTGTATTTTTTGAGCTTGGAGGTCTGGGAACCAGTAAGCGGGGCAGTTAACCAGTATCGTTAGAAATAATGGTTTCATTAAATGTTTTGGTTTTGTCGTTCTTTGAATCACTGTCTTCTTTATCTTCTCATACATTTACCCATCAATCGAGAATTCCATTTTCCCAGCGGTTGAAAGGAACGCTGTGCAATAGGAGGAAACTCCTTTCTCTCTCTTTAGAACTAACCTCAGTCCGTTGTCGCGTTGCTTTTCTGGATAAAGAAAGGAAAAAAGCTATGATCGTAGCCACCAAATGTGCATTCTCGCAGTCAAGCTCTCTTAAAAACCTGCACATTGACAGTGACAAAAAAATTACAGATACACTGATATTTCTTTGTTTGAGGATCGTTAAAGATTGGTAAATGTCAGTTTTGTTTGTAAGACTTCTGACCCCTGAAACAAGTCCTCTTTTGCCTCTTTTGCCCTGAACCGTATCTTTCTCAAAATTATACTTGCTTGCAGTTGTTTGCCCTCAATTACGGCTGCACAAGTTTGCATTTTACTCTTTTCCTCTTCTCGTCGCTTCAGACTACTACTCTCAAAGTAGCCTCTTATATTGGTCACGTGAGGTAACCGCATATTGGGTACAAGTACTATCAAAAGTTGTCTCGTCGTGGTTATCTATTAACCAACTTTATTTTATTTTTCTCGACATATCATCCGATTACACCAAAAAAATTACTATCTGCCAGACCAAAGGGTCGCAATGAATGACGCAAACGAAGAGGGTAATTACAGCTCAAGGGAACTGGGTACGAGTTAAAGGACAGTAAATCAGCCCTTATAAAAATTTTAAAGTGTCGTAGAAAAAACACAAAGATGAGATTAGCTTGTTTTCATTAACAAGTAGTTCACATTTTTCATTTCAGAACAAGACCATTCATTCTTAAACAAATCCTCGCATTCCGTACATTGTGCGTATCGTGCATTGTCAGTCGTAACCAGTCTCTCTCCCAATGGTATTTCATGCAATCTACTACAACAAATTAAGAACTTTTAATAGAAACCGCTTACTTGTCATCAAGCAAGATAAAAAAAAGAGGCATCGAATTAATCATGTGACCATCTTCACGAGGAGCATATCATACACTACTAATTATGCAACTAGTTATGTAACTCTTTAAAGAAAGATTTTAGTTGCGAAATGGCAGAGGGGCAAGTGTACATGCGAACCTCTGTGTGGAACTCATTTTGCTTGAGAAAGAACATTTCGTGGACCACTTACGTTCTAATCTGTCTATTTGGTTTGGGTTCTTGGGTTGCTGTCAATGGTTTGTGGGTTGAATTGCCTGTACTTGTGAAACATGCCCCAGAACAGTGGAGCCTTCCTTCTTATCTTGCAGTTATCATTCAATTGGCGAACATTGGCCCCGTTATTTACACACTGGGGAACCGCTTCGCCCCTCGCATCGTTCACGAAAAATCGACGATTCTTTTAATTGTGACGATTGGGTGTTTAGCTTGCACGTTACTAGCACTTTACTGGAGCGAAACAAGCACTATTGGCGGTGAACAACACAGCACAGTTCTTTTTACCTTGTCCTTCTTGCTGGCCTTAGTCGATTGTACTTCTTCTTTGGTATTTCTCACGTTCATGGCTACTTTCCCATCCACCTACATGAGTGCCCTGTTTGTTGGTGAAACCTCCAGTGGTTTGCTACCTTCATTTGTAGCTTTGGCTCAAGGCATTCAAAATGGAGGTACAAACAGCAGCAAAAACATTACCAATAACAAGAACCATTTAATAAGCCAATTAAGATTTCCGCCAGAGGGATTTTTCTTCTTTTTGTTCGCAATCATGTTTGTATGTGGGATGGCCTTTTTGGCTCTGAATTATTTACCAGTGGCTAAAAGACAACATGTCATACCAAATCTAGCAAAAATACCAAGAAACAGCAACAGTTCCACACAGCCACTTTTTGATGATACTACAAGAAGCTTATATCAGTCTACATCAACATGTGATAGTTCTCCCCAAGATTCTTATTTGAATGATCAGTCAGTCAACAGTGGTACATTCTCCTGGTGTGAATTTGATATATTACTTCTGCTCTGTATTCAAACTTGGATAAACTGCCTCTCCAATGGCGTGCTACCTTCGATACAGGCATACGCGAGTGTGCCATACGGTGATATAACATATCATCTAGGTAAATAATGAACAGTGAACCCTTTTCACACTTAAAATCTCATAATCATTCTCCTTATTTTTTCTGCCATACATTTTTTACCAAAGTAGTTGTGAGATTTTGTTGTTGGATCAGAGCATTATCCTTATAAAAGGATGGTTGTGATAGACATGTAACTCCTCCCTTTAATATCCATACAAGGGCATAGCCAGGGGGGTCCTGGGGTGCCCATGACCCCCCCCCCCTTGGTAGGCCTTCTTTTGAGCAAACAACCCACAATATTCAGGTGGTGAAAATGCCATGACAATATCTTGACCTGTCCACTATACTCTTACTGCTCATCCCAAAACTGTAACATTGAGTAAAACATGCATGGCGTGAAGGTCGACATGACAATCTGGTGAGTAGCCTCTGTGACCCCCTCCCCCCTTTAAAAAATCCTGGCTATGCCCCTGCCATACATTATCTAGAAATCAGTCCAGCGCTCTATCCATTGAGCTAACCGCCTCCCGGTTAGCTCAATGGATAGAGCGCTGGACTGTTGTGTGGGAGGTCGAGGGTTCGAGCCCTGGCCGGACCAACACTCAAGGTCTTAAAATAATTGAGAAGAATATGCTACCTTTCTATAACATCAAGAAATGGTTAGATATTCTAGTCTTCTTGGATAGGGACGAATAAATGGAGGTCCTGTCTCCTACAGGGTTAGGGGTAGGAGACGTTAATTTCCCACGCATGAGATAACTGTGTGATGGATGTCCTCCCCTAGGGTAGGATGGGCAGGTTAGGATTGATTGTAAAGCGCTGTTGATCTGTCATTGTAAATAGCGCTCTATAAGTGATTAATTGTCGTTGTTGTTGAAATGAGAATACTCAAACTTATCAGGTAGAAGTTGTCATATTGATCTAACACCAAATTCTTATGACTAATATACAAGTAACATGTGTAGAAGCTAGAGGAGAGAATTAACAATCAGATCTTGGGAGTTACAACAGACAAATTATAGTTACTGTAATAGCCCGCAGACAAGCCGCACCCTCAATTTAGCAGCTCAAATTTTGGAAAAAAGTTTTTCGATGAAAATCAAAAGAAATCCAAAGTCGAGTCTTGAGAAGTCTTCTTCATCCACTGTTCATTGAACTTAAACTCATCATCAAGGTTGCAACGGAAAATACTTCAAAGTGTTACCCACAATTTTAACTCTTTAATATAATGAACATCGTTTCTACCAACTTGACATATGATTGATCTTTTTACGGTATTTGTTGACAGGAATTTCTTCATTCAACACAGTTCTTCCATAGATTTTTGCATTACAACAAGAATATGAACAGAACATTCAAAGCTTAGTAACCAGGCATTAGATCAGATGGAAAAATGGACCTTCATGACACTCTTTTCAAATGTTCCCGCAGATAAGCTGCCCCCCCCCCCCAATTTCTAGCAATGATTTTTTGAAAAATGTGCGGCTTATCTGCGGGCTTTTACAGTAATCAACCTTTCAGATCAGATCAGATTTGATTGTTAATTGTCCTCTCCAGGTGTTACACTTTCCCTTGCAAATTATTAATGAGAATTAGTCTTAGATCAAGATAACGACTTCTACTGATAAGTTTGAGTACTCTCAGACCATTCAGAGTCTTAAATCGATCTCATCATTACCAGTCACTCATCCAAAGTGATAAAGTCTTCTTCTGTTGACCTTGGTATCTCCGACCATCATGTGGTCTTTGTTGTTCTAAAACTTGCACAGAAAAATGCCAAACCAAAAGTTATTTCAATGACGAAGTAGACGTCAGTGGATATTAATAGGCTGAAGCGCGACTTTGATCAGGCACCCTGGCATGTGGCTAGCATCTTTGATGATATTGACGACAGCTTGTAGACCTGGGAATATTTATATAAAAATGTTTTGAATGAGCACCTACCATCTAGAGAGGTCAAAGTGAAAGATAAATCCCTGCCAGGGATCAATTCTTCAATTAGGAAGCAAATGAACCAAAGATATAGACTGTTGAAAGAAGCTAAGTCTACAGGAGATCAAGACAAATGGATACAATACAAAAGCAAGAGGAATACAGTAAAGAAACTTCTAAAAAGTGTAGAAGCTACTTACTGGAACAAGACGTTCAAGGAGTCCAAAAATCCCAAAGAATTTTGGAAATTGAATAATCAAGTGCTCGGGAAAACTAAGGTTAAGTCTATAGGCCCAATAATCGATAATTGATACTGATAATTTCAGGAAAGTCGAACACTTCAGTGACTTCTTTGTCAATATTAGTGAAAATTTTACGAAAAACCTGGAACCATTGGATTGTTCACTCCTACAAACCCATATCAGTCGTGTAACCCCATCATCTAGTTCTATTAAGTGAAAGGTGATCAAGGCTGCAAACCCAAAGGAAGCTTCTGGCCCAGATCTGGTATTGTCCAAAGACCTTGCTTTGCTTGGTGACTCAGTTGTTCATAGTCTGCTGCCAGTTTTCAGGAAGAGTATCAAATGATGCTACTTACCCTTCGAACTGGAAACTGTCTTGTGTCAATCTTATTTTTAAAAAAGGCAGATCAACTGATGTGAATAACTACAGACCAATCTCTCTCCTCAGCGTACCAGGAAAGATCTTGGAAGATGTGGTCAGCAGCTCTCTGGACCATCACATTGAATCTCAAGGCCTGTTAAGTCATAACCAGTGGGGCTTCCGTATAAACTATTCTACTGAAGGCCTTTTGCTTTACCTCACTGAAACCTGGAAGGAAGCCCTAGACACGGGATGGAAGGTTGAGGTCCTCTTAATTGACTTCAGAAAAGCGTTTGATTCTGTGAATCACTTAATTCTTCAGCAAAAACTTAAAGCAATGAGTGTCTCAGGAGACTTTCTGTCTTGGTTTACCAGCTACTTTTGTGAGTGTCGCCAATTTGTCCAGTTGTCTGGTGTAAAGTCTAGACCCAGATTGATAAAATATGGTGTTCCACAAGGATCTATATTGGGTCCAAGACTATTTTCAATTTATGCAAATGACTTTCCGGAGGCTTTCACTGATGGAGACCTATTTATGTTCGTCAACGATACCACTATCTTCACTATTGGTAAGGATATAGATGGTATTATAGTGGTTTTACAGTTGATTCTGGATCAAGTCCTTTCCTGGTGCAACTCAAACAGGTTGACTGCCCATGAGACAAAATATGAGGCTTTATTGTTGTCGAAACATGATTTTATTGGTCCCTTGCCACTATTGAAATATGGCCAGAGTGTCATCAAGTTTAAGTCGTCATCTCAATGTCTTGGTCTTACCATCGATCAAAACTTATCATGGAAAGAGCATATCATGGCTGTCTGTAAAACGTTTAACAAGAAACTCGCTATATTAAAACGTATAAAGTTCCTACCTAAGTCTATTCTAGAGTCTATTTATTTCAAGACTATTCCATCTGTCTTTTATGGGATTGCTGTATGGGGCTCATGCTCACTGGTCTTGATGGAAAAAATGGAGCATTTCCACCTGCGAGCTGCAAGGTTAATCCATAATCTGCCTAGGGACATCAATATGGACGACATGTGTAAGCTTAGGGGATGGTCTCCTATTTCATATTTTTACATGAAAAGGGTACTATCCATAACTTATAAATCATATTATGGTCTCTCTAATGACTACCTTAATAACTTAGTTTCGAAGCAGGAACACAGATACAATTAAAGAAAGATTTTAAATATAAATATCACTAAACCAAAAACGGAAATGGGAAGACTATCTTTTAAGCATAGGGCAGCTATAGCTTGGAATTCTCTTCCAGATTGCATTAAGGAAGCTCCCTCTATTCTGAGTTTTCTGAAAGAATTGAATAAAAATAATGACATTTTGATGAAAATATCATATACCAAAGAGTCATATATGATTAAAAATAAAGATGATTTTTTCTATTTTTAAGTATACATCATAGCTTACGTGATAACAACTTTTATATTTGTATTTTCAGATGGGTTTATAGTAATAGCTTTAATATTTACACACCTTGCATCCTTGTATTTTTATATTCATAGATGTTAAATTGTGCAATTGTGCTTATAATGTTAATTTAGTGTGCAGGTCCACATCAGAACTTATGGTCTTGCCTATTTTAGTAACCTGCCTTAACAAATAAACTTGTTGTTGTTCTCATTAAGTGTTTGCTTGATATTGTTTGGATGTTATGGGAGAATCAAGTTACATGTTTATCACTTCTGGGAATTAAAGGGTTTGTAAAAAAAAGCTGTGAATGAGTTATTATTTTGACAGTGCACATCTCATCTCTCCATAGTGGCCACACTATCAAATATAGCAAGTGCATTGACTTGTTTTGTCGCCTTATGGTTTCCGTCAACATCTGCCAAACTAGTTGCAGTGCTAGCAAGCGTGTACACAGTTTTCAGCACCTACATCATCATCCTTGCATCCATGAGTCCAACACCACCTATGCACGGAAAAAACATTGGGAGCTTTGTAGTGGTAAGTTTGTGAAAATAATGTTCACTTGATCGTACATGTTGAGTGGTCAACCGTATAACTCTTAGAGGTGATTAATATGTAACTTCTCCCCATAACATCCATACATGATCCAGCAAATGGGTAATGAGAATACTCAAACTTATAAGGTAGAAGTTGTTTTCTAGATCTAACAGCAATTCTTGTGTCAGAGGGGAGAGTTAACAATCTGATCTTAGGAGTTGAGGTGTTAGAAAGATGAATTCTCTGAAAGTTCTGTGTACTATATAAACTAAGCAATGTCACAAGTGACATAAGAGTAAAGTGAAATAGAAAGATGGCAAATTTTTAGCACTAGAATGTAATTAAGAGATGGTTTTCATCGTGTCATGGGTGATGGACAAGAAAGTTGTGTGTCACCATGAGGAATCAAACCTTGAATCTTTTGATTTCAAGCTTTGATGTGCTACCTCCACTTGTAGTTGTTGCTTAAACCTCGAAAAGGAATGATCTTGCTCTGAGTTATTGTTTAATTGAACTTCTAAGTCATTTCCTTCTGTTTGCAGATTGCTGTCAGCATTATCAGTGGCATTCTGATTAGCTATACTAAGTTGACCATCTCGACAATCATGCGTGACCGTGGTAAACAGGCATTATTTTGGTGTGGCATTTGTATACAGACAGGGTCGTGTATCGGTGCTCTTCTAATGTTCCCTCTTGTAAATATCCTCAAGCTTTTCCACCAGTGAAAGAGCTGTGAGCCAGTGAAACTCAAAACTCCATTTAGTAAATCACCATGTCAAATAAACAACAAATTGCTTTGAACATAATTTGTTAATTTCAAGCTCTTGAGTCTCAAAAGAAGGGAAAATTCTCAGTTCTTACCCCTGTGTTTAGTTGGCAATTTTGACTCTGGTAGGAACAGCTGTGATTCAGATGCTTAACTTTTTCCTGTTCTTAACTAAATATGAGTTATTGTAACCTATTCAAACAAAATTTAGGGAGCATTTTCTGTATATTAATGTTGGCTGTTTTACAAAGAGGGAATTGTAAGGATGGTGTTTCAATAATTCAATTCAATCATAAATTGTATGATGGGAGGCATTTGGCCTAATGGTCAGTGCACTGGACCCCAGGTCAAGAGGCCTGGGTTCTAGAACCAGAGCCTGTTTCTTGAATGTCCCGGTATCTTAATGAGCCCGTAAAGCGGTTCTGTTTTCATTCAAGATGGGGGTTTCAAAAGTTTTGAAAATGATGCAAATAAAACTATCAGCTAAAGAAACAAAAAGGACCAGTCTTGGTGCCAGAACCTGCTTTCCTATCCTTTAGATTTAGATTTTCAAACATGGCTTTGGGCATGCAAAGTTACCATGACTTTTAAAAAACAGACCCCAGTCAGCTCAGTGTGTTGCATTCTTGAGATTATAAGAGTGAACTTTTAGGACTTGTATTTGTTTTTTTAAAGAAGAAGGCATTGTAATTTGTGTCTAATAAAAGATGAGTTTCATTGATACTGACCCCTCTTTATTAATCAGTTGACATAAGCAATTTTCCAGATAAACTTTTGATCCCTAGAAGTGACTTGCATCTAATTTCTGTTTACAATATCAGCTTGGAATCACAAATTAGTCGAGAGAATAAAGGAAATAATCAGGAACTGAAGAAGCTCTTGATTGTGCTGTAAATTCTCCTTTTTCAGCACCTCAAGAAATGAATAGAGAACAGTATGGAGAATATGCATTCTGATGTTAGCATGTAAAGGGTTAACGTGGAGAAACAACAACAGCATAAAACCAAAAAAATATTTGACACTTTTCAACACAAAACTTTATTTACACCAATTGTAACAATACAATTCAGTTCTTCTCCATGTTTGGGAAGTAATACCTAGTTGCCAGTCATTGGATTTTAAAATTCCCTGACTTTCCTCAAAAAATGTACAATTTCCCTTGCTGTCAATTTCACAAATGAATTCTGATAGTGTCCTCTAACCACAGCCATCCTTTGCACTTGTAAAACTCATGCTTGCAGCAAGTCACATACAGGGTACATAAATTGATTGTTCATTAAGGTGACAAGGTGAAAGTACTGATATCAGAGCTCGACACTAACAGTAACCAACTAACCACAGACTAGTAGAAATTTAGTTTAGGATTGTGGTTTTCAATTTCCACCAGCCAGTTTGGCTAGTAAACAAACTGAAATTGTCCTAAAATCTACATTGTGACCAGCCACTTGGCTAGTCCAGTAAGTTGAAAAGTTAGTGCCAAGCCCTGGATTTGCTTTCAAGTGAAATTCCCTGACTTTTCCCAGATCTTAAAGAAGTTTATTTTTTCCTGGACTTTTTCTTGACCTGTGGCAATCATGGAATACCCTTAACTGTGTTCAACTTCATAGAAGAAGGACTCGCAGACTTAAAAAGTGTGTATTGAAGACATGGAACTACAAATCAATGTTTATGTGGATTATTTACGATTTGGAAAGAAATTCATATCTTTGGGAGGGTTAGAAGGTCAAAGTCAACAATTCCTCCACATCAAAATTTTCATGACTGTGTAATCCCGGGTTTAGTAAAATTTGTACAATAATAATAACAATGGAATTTAGCAGTGGACATTCCATTGTTTCCACCATGAGTTGGAATTTGGAATGTTGGTTTTGTGGAGGGAGGAAACTGGAGGAACCTGTGAGAAATCCTCGGAGCAAGGAAGACAACTAACAACAAACTCAACCCACATAGCAGTGGCCCCAGTTTACCCAATAACTCGCATAAAGTGCTTCCCTGACACTAATTTCAATGCATAACCCAAAAATAAGGCAAAAAGAACACCAGATTGATCTGTTCAGCAAAATTGGGGGATGTTACCTTGATAACAGACCAATCTTTTAACTAAATAAAAAAAAAAAAGAGGAACCACTAATTAGGAATAAGGAGTTCGTAGTAACTTTCATTCTTCTTTCCTGCTGCTTTCTGCAAATGGCAGAGAGATGTCCCAAACATCATCCATCCATGCTTGACTAGAAAACTTTACACAGCGAAGGTTTAAATAACCGCACTCTTTTACGTCTCATCAATGCAAGTTATTTCAGTGAAAAAGTGCAAATCTCAAGAAAAATTTCATCCTTATGTGATACTTTCAAAGCCTTTTGTAAAGAGGCAAAGTTTGAAAAATACAATATTACACTACCTATATCTTATTATTTATAGACAAGCCATTAGAGTCCATTGTAAACTTTCTGTAGAGACTGTTGCTTCAAGATGTTCTTTAAAGCTGAAAACAAAGACAGATTATTAATCAGTTATTTACTTATTTATAATTAGTACACATGTCTAACATAAAAATGTATTTTTTTCATTTTGGCCACATTATCATTTAAGAGTGGTACTCAGAGCAAAACAAACAAGCCTGTCTTTGCATACTTCAAAATCATTTCAGCACTTTTACACAAGATTGAAAGAATTATTTGATAGAGGAACTGACACAATTTGGCACCTATCAAACATGTACTTCTCCAATGCTACAGTTGAACATAATTTCAGATATACATGATTCCAATCTAGTTTGAATTGTACTTTTCTTTCCTTATAAGTAGGGTACATTCCAGGAGCAAAAGAAAAGACCAACCAAAATTGTTTAAAACTATTTTTATCTGACTCTCATTTTAATTACCAATGTATACAGTCCAATCTTGGCTAACAGACATTCCTGTTAGCAGAGAGCTCTACTTGCAAACACTTTTTTCAATTCCCCTTAGGAGAAAGTTGGCATTTCAAACACAAACAAAATTAAAACTCAAACATTTCTTTTATTTAGTATCTTGGTTGAACAATTCTGATGGGAGAAATAGAACCTACCCAGAACATATGGCAATCTGCGCTCTTTCCTTGCACTTAGGTGGCAAGGAAAGCCACAAAAATCTTGCACAAAAGCTCATCTTTCAAACCGGCAGTCTAAATCCCACAGGGATCAACAAACGCTTTTCATTCCACTAATTTATTCATCTTTTTCTCATTGCCATGTTCCCACCAATAAAGTAGCTCCATTTTCTGCCTTTAAAAGCACACACAACCCACAATTCCTCTATTCACTCCGACGAAATGTCAGCTTTTGTAGTCATTACGGTGGCCAATTTACCATTTCAACTTTGTTGATATATCCAAATTATTTCGTTACTCCCACCAACGCAGCCCCAAACAGTTTCTTTCAAAACTATCAGCCTACCTTCTTTTTCACTTTCTGACATGCCACCTCTTGGAAATTCAACATCAAACGTTATATAAAGATCTCCTTTCAAATGGTTGTTTTCATAGTTAGGCATGCCCTCTTCTTTCTTTTTTATGCGTGCTCCTGGCCATGTGATTTTCTCCCGCACAATGTGCACCTTAGGGATAAAAAAACTCATCAACCTTCCATTCCTATTCTCCCTCCTCTCTGCAATGCAATTCTTACGCTTTGAGAGTTTTTGGTGTTTAAAAAATCTATTTTGAAATCTGCTGTGATCCTTGCAATCTGATTGGTTCTAAGTAGCAAAATATGGGTGGGATGTAAAGTGCTGAAAATCAAACTGAAAATCAGAGATGTTTACTAGCAGCACTTGAAACTAACTTCAAATTAATCAGAATGATTATTTTAGGATCATTGTTCTGGTGACTATAGAGATGTGCATGATCCAATTGGTTCAGGATTACATCATATCTTGCTATAGTCACCTAATGAGAGGTGATTATAGCAGGATGGGTAAATTTTAAATTGGCTGCCCTGCCTTTTGTCCATGATTCTGAGGAAGCAATAAAGGGGATAGTAGAAAAATCAATTGCAAAGAGCTCCAAAGATGCTAATGAGTTTGGCAGAGCACTTTTTAAAAAAAATATATAAAGTTCTTGCTGATTGACTTTAAGAAACCTTTTAAAACTGCTTGCTTATCTTGGCACAAGTAATCAGCAAAATTACAACAAAAAATACACAATGCCTTCTTCAATTACATAATTTAAAATGTAATTTGAAAGCTAAAGAGCAATTATACTAAAATAATTATTTGCCTCAGGCTCTGAATATTGTTGAATAACCCCCACGACCTCATCTTAGGGATTATTCAACAATATTATTTTCACCGTCAGCCACTAATTGTTAATATTAAATATGGTGAATAGCATTAGAAAACTTTGAAAAAAACTCTTCCAGAAACTTTTTAACCCTTTAATTGCCATGAATCCACTCATAAAAAACGAACCACTTTGTTCCTACAACTCATTTTTCCCTCTTCTTTTAGCTACATTATTGCAACAATTTCATTTCACACAATTTACCCAGCCTATGGAAGGCAAAACAAGTACGGCAAACTACTCATTGCAACCCTCTCTCCACTTCTTGGAGTTTTACTGAAAGTGATTTCCAGGATTTCAGTCCAAGGGTTGTGAAACATTACACCAAGACAGAACTTCCCTTTACAATGTCGACAAAATATCAAGCAGACAAGTGATAAGAAAAAGAAAAATACCAGTTAGGGGATTATTATTTGATCCACTGCCGAATTCTCTGAACTAATATTATAAGGGTTGTGTGGCAAACAGTAAGGAAAGTTAGTACAGAGATCTTGAGAGTGAACCATTAACTAACCTTGTGTCCATCGAGATGGTCTATATCCATTTCAAATCCATTCAATGCATCAATTAAGGCAACAGTCACATTTGTGTAAAGATCATCTCCTTTTCTTTGAAATTTATCATGCCTGTTGATACAATATACTCCCTAAGAGTGCTACAGAGCATACCACAAAAGAAGGATGTCTGCTTACAAACTGCACACCCAATACTGCTGGATCTTATCCTAACTGCCACAGCATTAACCCTTAAATTCCCAGAAGTGATTAACATGTCACTTCTCCCTGTAATATCCACACATTATCCAGCAAACAAGTATTGAGAATACTCAAGTTTTCTTGATCTAACATGAAATTCTCCAAACTAATTTACTAGAAAATGTGTGAAAGCCAGAGGGGAGAATTAACAATCAGATCTTGGGGGTAAAAGAGTTAAGTAAATAAGATTAGTGCCACCCTCTCTGGATGGAGTTTTAGTCCATTGGGAGTAACAGTATCCACCCAGCCACCCTCCCTCCTTCTTTTTTGTCACATTTCCAACACAGTTGGTGAGCAAACATTTATGCCCCAGAATGGGGTGGTGTGAGCATTATAGGAGCAGAGCATCTTGCCCAGTGTTTAAGCCCAAGACCTCTCATGCACAGACGTGGGGTCCATTTCTCGAAAGTACCAGTAACTTAATAGGCCAGAAGCCATATTTTAACAAGATCTAACCTAAACAGTAGAGAAGCAGGTTCCGCCACTGCTACCGCTCCATTTGTTTCTTTAGCTAATAGTTTTAATGCATAATTTTCAAACCTTTTGAAAGCCTAATTTTGAATGAAAACAGAACAGCTTTGCAGGCCCATAAAGTTACTGGGAACTTCCTGAAACAGGCTTGGGGACACTTATCTATCACATCATGGCAACTCCCATTACTTGAAGAGTCCCTTGGGTAACCTTTGATACCAAATTAAATTCTCCTTGACTTTAACAAAGAAATACCACACAGCTTCAGAACACTCAAATCAATTCTAGTCAAATTGTACCTTTGTTCTCTTATGATAAACTTCAAATCACCTGGATCACCATCAATGTGAGGCTCACCTGATGAACAAAGAGATGCATAATTTAACAAACAATTTACAGAGTACAACTATTGACAAATGTGACATATCTTATGGTCATTCCTTTGAAAAAGACTCTTCTAGGGATTCAAGGTGCAACTAAACAATAGGGATCAAATAACTTAAAGAAAGCTAAACTTTAAACTGAAAAAAAGTAGTGATTTATAATGGATGTTGTGGTTCACTTTTATTCTTGGTTCATATTACACTCGCTTGATTGCTGTGAACTCACCTACATTCAGTGCTGTCCTAAAGTATGTTTAGAAAAACAATTTTAACAGCAACATTGAAATGTGCAGAGAACGTCTTCAATTGCACACATTCACAAGCACATGTTTACATTTCAAATTGTTTGGGTTTGTTGGTTTGTTAAAAACAATCATAGCACAATCAGTAGTATCAAATCAAAATTGTTCCAGTCCTCACCCTCTGCAACAAATGGATATTCTTGTCCATCTCTCATCCCAGGTTCCACTTCAACTTCTAAGAGTTTTTCCTTAGTAACATAAGTTACAGCAGGACACTCATCACAGATGTCCACTGGTGACATTTGAAACCTTCCAGGACCCAGCTGTGTTGTTCTCATCTCTTGCCGACAGTTGCACTTTCTCGTACCAGGAACTGTCTGTGTGACTGGTTTGATGCGTAAAACCTAAGGACAATGAACAACTGATCAATCAAATCACTAACAGACTGACTGATTGACAAACTGATGAGCCATATGAAAACTGACTGCCGTGTTAGAACTGATTGCCTGACTGACCACAATTTCTAATGAAACAAATTTCATCTAATCTGCAGATGAAACCGTTGGTGGACTCCAATTTAAGAAATTGTAAGAAAAGAAGCCTGAAAAAAAAAAATAGCTTCAATGGGAGTCAAACTTAAACCTTCCTGGCTGACTGACTGTCTGACTAACAGAATTACCTGAGACTGACTGTCTGACAACTTGACTGACTGATTGACTGCCTGACTGTCTGATTTTGACTAAGTGATTCACAGACTGACTCACAGACTGCCTGACTGAATGACTGCCACCTTCTTACCTGATGGACTGACTGATGGACTGCCTAACTTACTGATTGACTGACTGAATAACTGATTGACTGACTGCCTGACTGCCTGACTGCATGCCTGCCTGATGGACTCATTATTGACTGACTGACTGATTGACTGACTGCTTGACTGCACGCCTGCCTGACAGACTAATTGACTGACTGCTTGACTGCATGCCTGCCTGATGGACTCATTATTGACTGACTGACTGATTGACTGACTGCTTGACTGCACGCCTGCCTGATAGACTAACTGACTGACTGACTGATTGACTGACTACCTGATGGACTGATTGACTGACTGACTGATTGACTGACTGCCTGATGGACTACTGAACTGACAGACTGACTGACTGACTGAAAGACTGACCAACTGCCTGAATGCCTTCCTTACAACCTAGTAACTTAAACATTTTCTGTGGCGGGGATTCAATGATTTGTAACTGTCCACTGTACTCATGACAGCTCCGTCATACCTTTATCAACAATCTAACCAGTGTAAACACCAAGTTTACATAAAAATATGTTCTAAGTAACATATGAATGAATTATGAGGACCGTTCATTGTATCTAACAGTGTAGAATTCTTTACTAACCTCTACAAAGTTGCCAGAGTAAAGTTCTTCCAGTGTGACATGAAGGTCCATGTGAATATCACTTCCGCGAGGAACTTCTCTTTCATTCCCCCGTTGTGATCCTTCAAAATGAAAACCAAACCCTCCAAAGAAACTAAAAACAAAAATGAGTGAGCCAAATTATAAGCAATCAAAGGTAGGTAGGTTAATTCATTTCAATTTGAGATGTACAATGAGCCAGCGACTCGTACTAAATACATTCGAATATATAAAATTCTACATCTACAGTTAACTAAAAACATACAGATACTACATATATTAATAAAACGAGAATAAAATTACTTAATGTAATATACTTCCTAAAAAAGAATCCAATAATGTGGTAACATGGTTCTAGTAAAGTATCATTATTCATGATAAATATACTAAAAACAAATGCTTAACATGTAGAACGTGGTAAAAATGCGAGAAATAAATAGCAACGCAGAAAAAAAAAATGTTGGTAAGACAATTAGATAGTAAAACAAACTAAGATATATAATTTGGATATATCAACAAAGTTGAAATAGTAAATTGGCCACGGTAACGATTACAAAAGCTGACGTTTAGAGCGTTAGCTAACGCTCGAAAAGTCAGCTTTTGTAATTGTTACGGTGGCCAATTTACTATTTTAACTTTGTTAATATATACAAATTATTTCGTTACTCCCACCGATGCAGCCCCAAACAGTTTCTTTCAAAACTATCAGCTTTTAAGATATATAATGAATGATAGTTGAAAAGTTGAAACAATGTCTCAAATAACATAACATGACAGGTGTTAAGTTGAGAAGGCTTGCTATAGTGTAGCTGCAAGATGAGTTTGGTTATTATCAAAATCTGTTTTCTCAATAATTAGATACATGTACATTGAGGCAAAGCTGATAATAAGTTAAAAGTGGATAAGTCAAAGGGTTAGATGACAACAACAAGGAAAATTCATATCACATTAATAAAAATTAACAATAGATAGAGAGTAAGGGATTAAAAAAAAAAACCCTGGCTGCTCTGTGGCTCATTGATAGAGCATTGGAGCATAAAATCCAAAGGTCTGAGGTTCCATTTGTCTGGGGGAAGTCAAATCTTAATTTTGTTCCACGCTCATGAGAAAAAAAATAAGATCTTTCTTTACCACATTAACTTACAGATCAATTGAAAGAGCATACCTTGAAAATGGATCAAAACCATCACCACCTCCTTGCTGCATGTTTTTCAGCCCTTCCTCCCCATGCCTATCATATACTTTCCTTTTCTCATCATCAGCTAAGACCTATAACACAAAGTGAAGTGTTCCACAGGTTTATGACACAATACAAAAACATAATTACAAAAACAAGAAAAAAGTATCAATTATATATTCTGGTGACACAAGCTTTAGGGAAAAAAAGGTGAAATTAACATAGTATTAACTCCTAGAATTGATTAACATGCAACTTCTCCGCCAAATAGGTAGGTAGAAGTTGTTATCTTGATCAAACACCAAATTCCTTTGACTAACTAAGAAGGAAACGTGTGGCTGCTAGAGGGGAGAATTAACAATCAGATCTTGAGAGTAAGAGGGTTCAAAAATAACTACTTTGAAAGCAGTTACTCATTAACACTGCCTGTTTCCTAATGTTGACAACTAATTGTCAAAAATGGAAAGAGAGAACTATTTGAAAATATTTTTTGACTTTTTATTTAATGTGAGCTTTGAAGTTTTAGGCAATAAATCATCAAAAAAGCATTCTAATAATGCAGTAGCGTGACTTAAATGCATTTAAGGGGACTTTGTTGACCCAATGTGTCAAACCAGATGAACTAACCAATCAGGAAGAGACACCTTGACCAATTTGCATAAGATGCAAAACTCCTCATGATTTTGTCAAAAAAAAAGTACATTCTAAAACTGACAAATCACACGAAAATAAATTTAATTCCCTTCCCTTGAAAATTCTACATCTCAATGTATAGGAGGTTACAGCTGAGTATTCGTAACTCAAAAATGAATCGATTAAAGTCGTAGAGTTATCGGTCGTAAAAAAAATGTGTTTACAGCTTCTTTGAAGCGAAACAAGGAACAATGAATTTATATCAAGCTGTCTCAAAACTCTCATTGATTCTGGAGCTTTAAATTCAACAGATATTTGAATACTTTTGAAAATTCACTCAGCGTCAGGCAATGAACTGCTCGAGTGAATGACGCTCAGCTAAGGAATCGATCATTATGAGCTTCGTGAAAAGCAGCAAAATTGAATCCGTACAGTACAATAACTCACTGATGTACTTGAAATCATATAGTATCTTTAAATGTTTCTCTGAGATTTTCATAAGGTGTAGTACACAAAAACGGGAAAATCGACATTTTCTGTAACCTAACAGGGATGCTTTTCAACCTTGAGGAAAGCTAAATTATTTATCATCACAAGCAGATTCAAGGAATGTGCTACCGGTGTATGATATAGAATTGTTATGAAAACAAACCTCGTATGCATTACTCAGATCCTGAAATCTTTCTTGTGCCTTTGGGTCCTCCTTGTTTTTATCTGGATGCCACTTCATCGCCAGTTTTCGGTAAGCCCGCTTTATTTGATTCTTGCTTGCGTCTCTCGAGACGCCCAAGATGGTGTAAAAATCCCGCCTGATGATACACAAAAATAATTTTAAAAAACTACTGATAAAAAATATACATCATCGAGACTAGAGAGAGCACAATTTTACCCTGCTAAAATTTGTATGCAGAACGATAACACCAAGGCTGATATAAAATACACGTGTAATTCCGCCATTTTGCCGGCTGACAGAAGGAAATGGCAGTGAACTCTGGGAATGTAGCTCTTGACCTATCCCAGAAAGACTTGCTCCTCTACCGAGTGTTGCGGAGTGTAAGTGTTGCGTGACTGTGTGACCTTAGCGCGAAAGATTGACGATGACCTTTTGTGTGACAGCCATTCACCGGTTCACATTGAATATTTTTGTCAATTTGTCAACCTGGGACACACTCGCCTCTTATGGCGGGCCCACAAAGAAAATTTTAGGAATTAAACTCAACTGATAAAGATTGAAGATGATGCATATTATGATTTGTAAATGTATATGCCAGAGACCTATTATAGGCCTTTAAAGGTTGACCTTTTTTTACCTTTGCCAAAAAGACACAAAGTGGCTTTATTTAGCGCTTCCCTATGAAGACTTAAACGTAACAAACTAACAAGAAATTTGTATTTTCATAAAGATGAAAGGACCATCCGCTGGGGTGTACGAAGTTGTCAAAGTTGCATAAATTTTCATCATTTTACGGGGGGACTTTTCTTTTTTTTGATGAAAGCAAAGCGCGATTAATAGATCCACTTCACATAATTTTTGAAAAAGGTTCATCAAAAAAGTCATTTCGAACAATAAAATGACTGAATCATGATATTTTTTACCTGTCAGTGGACTCTCGTTATTTATGAT